TACAGCGTAACGGTCGTTTATCTAAGTTCGAAAACGACAGTTGCAGTATATCAATCTGAACTGTCCCAGTTCCTCATATATATACACATATGTACATATGTATCCAGGGGGTGAATACTCTCAAACCTCGTCAGCAAATGTATGCAATTGAAGCAAATATCAATCACTGCAATAGTCAGATGTTGCATTTGATTACGGAATCGGTGATAACAGAACGACACAGTTTTAAAAAATGGCGCGTTTTTTCCTAACAATTTCGTGGTATGGACTATACATGTTTTGATCGATGTTTCGTCTGAATAACGGTAGATGGTCGATCGTAGAGGCGCGTAAAAACAGTAACTTTGCAGTATATTGTTCACTTGTTCTAGAACACATAATAATAATAATAATAATAATTAGACGTACATCAGATGCGAGACGTCCACATCGGGAACAAATATATTTACCCTTTTATGACAGTACCGTTGGTCACCTATATAAAGTATATATCACGCCGAGCATGTACCCTGCATGAAAATGTTTTCGCTATCTGCTAGATAGAAGTATCTATATAATAGAAGCACTTCAGCGTTAGTATTCAATACCCAGTGCGTAATAGCCGTGATATGGTAGCCACCGTCAGCTAGCGTCGTTCAATTAAATTAATTTACAACCAATTATATAACAAAATAACAAGGACATAATTAAAGCAAATATATGTAATAGCATATGCAAAAGCAATAAATATAACCGAGCCCTTTAATTCGAGGCTAGTCATAATTCCGGTTGCGGCTAGAATTAAATACGATATTATAAATCTCCTTAAATCATCCAACTTTAAATAAATAGTGTCGAGTATGAAAGCATAAGTCGTTCTTTCCGAAAAAAAAAAAAAACGCTTTGTATACATAATTGCCATCATTTCTATTAGATGAAATTATATTACTCCTCATGTGATATGGTCTTGCCACGATCAGCGTATGTCTAAGGGATTGAATAACCGTAAATTCCCTATCTATCGGTATGGTCGCGTATCGGTACGCTGACGATCCGTCGGACCGTTCCCTTATCTGACGTTGTTGTAGGACTGACGTCACCTAATGGAAAAAACGGAAACTGATCGACTATCGAATGATTTTCGAGCTACTTCTTTTTTTCTCAATAGGTTTTTTGCGATGAGTTTAAATTTAGACACGATCATCTTGAGCTCTATGACATACCATATCGTTGTACCACAGACTACTGTGCGCCTACATATGTCACAGGTATTCACGTACCACCGGCCACTCGTTAGGGAGATTTTATTTTTATCGAATATGTATTAAATTTTTATGCACACAGACATAAGTGTTTTTTTTTTCCTTTAGCCCCATCACGCTGTCAATTTTGTGGCTACAAATGCTCACAAAGTTGTGCATGTCTACAAAACAAGCAAAAAAATCTACAGAATATTTAGCCCCTAACTGCTGTAGTCATGTTTGCGCTTCGAGGCAAACCGAAAATAATAATCAATGCTACTTACCCATTGGAACCCGCTCCAAGCTTATGATTCGTCTAGTTATATATCGAGCTATGTATCTGTTATTACTTTCCCCTGGTTAGTGTTTGTTATACTCTTCGTACTTACTCTTTCGGTTCTCAATCGAACAAACAGTTTCAGCTTTCAAGGCCGATTGTTTAAAGCTACTAAAACGAGAAATCTTCAAACGATTTTCGGCTTTTTGAAGCTTCTTTCACGCTGGGTCCCCATATGTCGCTAAAAATGGTAGCGGACACAATTTTCAGCTACGAACAAACGATGCGATACGTAGAACTGATATTACCGTATTTTATCTATACAGGCGTAATTGGAATTCAGCGAATTCAGCACTCACAGTTCCGGCTATTGACTCTGCTATTGTCGGCACCGAACAACTAAACGGCAGCAATGAGCCCGAATTTTTTTTTTCTGGCCATTTTGCGTCTCGTCAAACGTAAAATGTCGAAATAGGAAGAGGGACGGCCGTCACTGAGGAGCAGAAAAAACTGATTAGTCAATAGCTTCACCAAAACAAATATACGCAACGCGAAGCTGCTGACCTATCGTATGTTTTTCAACATGCACAACGAGAACGTTGTGTTAGAAGGCAAACCTTTCGCTGTCGTCGGCTGAAGTAGATAACCAGGATCGCAAAAGACCAACTCCAAAAAGATATGTTCGTCCCGAATAATGTGTCCTTCAGAGCAGTTTAAAGCATCGTCAATTCGTTATGTCGAAAATGTTGCTCTGCCGCTGATTCAAGGAGACTGGATTCGAGGTCGATAGATCTGCCAACGAACCTCAGTTAACTGTTCGAATGAAACGAACCTGCCCTCGTTGGGCAGAGCAAGTCAAAATCTGCACTGTTGAAAGCTGGGGAAAGGTCAGTTTCCCAGTCGAATGTCATTTTGAAACCTTCGCAAAAAAAAAAACGTCAATCATGCCTTTAGACGACATGTACCCAAACGGCTTTCCAAAAGTATCTCGTGCCGGAAATTGAACATTCATTAAAAGTTATGATGTGGTCGATGATTCTTGGCCAAGGCACTGGGATGACCGATTTCGAGTAGGGGATACTAGAGTAGCGGCCAAAAATATGCTGAAATTAGCGAGAGCAAAGTCTTGCTTTAGATACGAATATAGCTCTGTGACGATTGCTATATTTTTATGCACGATGGAACGTTTTGTCACAGCGCTTGGAGTCCCTCAGCGACGTTCAGTTTGTGAATTCTTTTTTTAGATTTCCGCAAAAAAAATTACTACTAACATGTGGCAACAGAATCCATTCATAGTTCAGGCAGTGAAAAACTGCCTCACAAGCATACCCCAGAGAATGGCAGCAACTTTCGCTCCAACAAGCGGTACCACCAAATAATGACGTTTACAGCTGCTGTATATCGCATCGTTTGTCAGCGGCTGGGAAAGGTTTGCCAATTTTCTTTTGTCGACAGATCGGGTACCAGTGTAATATAGTAGCAATGTTACTTTAATAAGCCAAAAAATATATATATATATATACATATATATTTAGAATATCCACGCTCTTACCATCAAACAAGCCAGTTAAAACAAGGAATCTCTTACATACCCGTCTAAGGTGAGGAATATATACCGGGAAGCCGACGTTATGAGACAAGTAGACCCAGAAAACATTTTCTGTTAACTTTAGGCGGTTCACCTGCCTTCGTTCCTAATTTTTTTTGCTATTGTGTATCTATGCTAAATGGTCGCAACAATTTCTACAGCCGTCCTACCCGCGTTTTGTCATGACACCACCAACGCGGAACACCAGGGTGACATCGTTGAAGTATGGGTAACTTTTCTGTTGTGATTGCGGTATACAGACGATCCACGCCATGTCACTGGTGACATCGCAATCATATTCCCTGGATCGGAAGCGCCGACGGGATTCTCGCTTGTCTCGTGGGCGAAGACAATCAATCGCTCATATAATACTACAGTTACATCACAAGGAAGTAGAATTAGGTTAGGTTTTGCCATTGAAAAGAAAACTGTAGAAGATGATCTTATGGCTGCGGTTATCGTGGATGAGTTGGGCGGGAGAGACGTCACTTTTTGCTTTTGCCCCGTACAAATCGTGGAGGGACAGCCGACATAAGGCATCGAGGTCAGTCAACTGCCAGTTGTATGGGCTGAATCTGCTCAGCCATACTAGTCTTTTTAAATCCGAGAAATAAACGATGATTAATTGCTGGAGTTGCATTACAAGGAAATAAAGTTAGGTTTCAATTCTCCACAACTTAAATCATCACTTCGACCTTCGGAAGATGAAGGCAGACGCTCAGTGGCAGTCTCCGTTGTGACATAGCTCGTTGGCCCCTTCTGCGTTATCTTCTTCTCGATGCATACAGCTAAACTGATTTTTGCACCGTCGAGAATTTTCGCAAGCCTGCAAGGTGTCAGCGCAACGACGACAGCAGAAGAACGAAAACGACAAAAACAGTAGTATAATGTTTACACTCCATGAACAGACATGCATGCATACATACATACATACATACATACATATATAATCATGCTTACCGTGCAGTGTATAACGTTAGGGGGGCTTGAACCAGCCATTCTCGCTTTTTCGAGTCAGGGATTTACCTTTTCGAAACAGCGCATCGCATTATTATCAAGTGGGCGACGTTTACGAGACGACAATTATTCGTTGCTTGAATGAATTGCCTGAATAAAAATGGATGCTTTAGATAGGAGGTCGATCAACTCAAGGAAATAAAAACAAGTTTTGTGATTATGAATATTATTAAGATTAAGAGTAACGTCAGCGATAAGTGTTGCAGTAACGGACGGTCAAGTGCAAGACGTGCACCCATCTAAGGTCATTTGATTAAGGCTGTTGGATTAAGTTGTCCATCATGGTGCGAAAGGCTGGCGGACGGGGCTTTATGATGACAAAGAAAATCACATTGTGCACTGATTCAAAAATAAATGGCCGTGGGAGAGTCACGGGAAAAGATGTGATAATATTGTTGTACCTGTAATAGCCGTCATTGTGGGTCTTGAAATAGACGGGTGACGACAGTCCTATGTCATTTGCGAGACTCATTTATTCTTTGCAGTGATTATATTGAAAGTGAGCGTATATAGAAAGAAGGACCTAAAGAGAAATTGCTGAATAGACTTGTAGAACATCAGTCGCTAGGCTAGGGAAGAAAGACTGATTGGAAAAATGCTAGCACATTTTATCCTACTTATTTATCATGCAATTTGTCGGTTTACGTGTGTATCAAGCTTCACCAATACCGCCGAAATTCTCAAAGACACGAAATCTAGCTACTGAAAAACCGCTGTTGGGCTGAAGCACGTTAGTCAGTAATCGTTAGGCTCCTCAAAACATGATGGCCTTTTGAAAAGGTTCAAATACTTGTGTACGATTTCGCAGATGTATCTTTTAGAAACTTTGAAAGCTAGATATTCAGTGGATAATAATCAAAGTGAGGTGAATTGATGATCTTTAGAGAGAATTGACAGATTACTTTTAGATTTATTTGCAACAACAACCAAACATCTGGAGACAAAGCGTTCATCGTTCAGCGGAAGTTGTTTGCGACCGACGCAGGCCTTGCTGCTGTCATTGATGAGCTGACATTTTCAGAGGATCAGACCTTTGCTGGACAATTAACATAATATTCTTCACAGCGTTTATCGAGTAGCTGAAGTGTTTTATGTTTAGATTAGTACTGCATGTCGTTACAGATACGCAAGGGCAGCCACTTTCCGAACGCTTCTGCAAATAAAAATAGATACGTCACTGGTTAGAATACATCGGGTTTCGACGAAGCTGAAGTGTCATCCGCGACTATAAATAGACTGGTCCAACGATAATGATTACTATTGGGCAAAACAAAAGGAGTCAGAAATTCCAAATCAATAGTCATTAGTCATCAATTGAGTTAAAAATGCGGGGTTTTTAATCGTTCCGGACGCTCACACTTTTGTTATTGCATCAGAAAAAGCTTTATAATCCTATAACTTGTTAGAAAGCACGTTTGTGTCATATTGACAGCGGGTCGGCTACAAGCTAAATGAATTTCAAGTGCCTTTGGTGATTTATTGGTTTTTTTAGACGTTTCACAACGTAGTAGCGTGCGCCGGGAATACGATTCCCGCAAAAAACAAACTTCAATTCGATTGAAGTGTATTGAGGCTGCTATCATTAGTTCATGTCTATAATTGCTAAGCGACAGTATTTACAGTATCAAGCGGGTTCAACTATATTTATAACATCATGTACTCATCACATGTATAACTGCCAGTTTGTAAAATTTTAGTACCTGTCGCCCAGCTGATTGCTCGGTTTGGCCGAGCACAAAAATGACTCTTAGGAGGGCTCCTAACAAAACGGACACTAGAGGCCTTCTGTAGTAATGTCCTTGGGAGAACTTGTTTAACAAGCTAAGGCAAAATTGTTTCAGCTCGATAAAGCTCTGTGGTCGCGAATGGATTACTCTTAACTTTACATCGACACATAGATCATCGACTTCTATCACCTACTATCGATAGGGGCGTAGAAAAGTGTTTGACCGGCATTTCTTAGTCGTGCTCGCTCCTCAAAAACGTTTTTTGCGTTCAAACTACAAAAGTAAAGCATAGAAAAAATAGGACCGAAACAATAAACAGGTGCACCACGAAGACTGCACGTATCATGTAGCCACCGGTGTAGGGTTTCGCCTTATCTCATAAGGCTGAAAAGAGCACGTATCGGTGAAGGCCGGGCCAAGATTTTGTCGTTCCTGCCTTCTTTCATGGTATCTCGGTTGTCGTTGTTGTTACTGGCCCAGCTGCCACTGCCTGCCAGCGCAGGCGGTTCGTCCTTTGAACTAGGCCATCGATATGCCAGCGTTTCGTATCCGCGCGCGCCAATACATTTTTCACAACAAAATTATAGGCTGACACAAACCGAATTTCTCGGACGTATCATCGAATCGTTGTCAGCTCAGCGCCATAGTTCACTTAAATCTATGCTATAAATTTTATTTCGGTATCCCCCAAAACCACGCAAATTATATGACTATACTTTATTCTACGTCGCTATATATAAATGGTGTATATTAAGATAAATTTAAAACTCATTCGGAATTTATTACCGCTGGCAGACCTTTTTCCTCCCTTTTATCTCGACACCAAGACGAATGAAGAGCGGAACTTGGTTAGCCTTGGATACGAACTGGTAACCTACGTTCAATGATCATTTCCTCAATTATCGAGGATTAAGAACTCGATGAACGCTATTCTGAAAAAGCCTTTGAGGGTATATCGACTCAGGTAGGTAGGTAGGTAGGTATGTTTTCTTGTGTTTTTTTCTTCTTTTTTTTTCATTAAATTAAATTCATTAAATTTTCATTTCATTAAATTCAAATTAAACGTTGGAGCTAACTGTTCGAACGCGGTTGTTTGCGATGAACACCTGCGTAGCTTCAATCAATAATAAAGATCATTTCAATACAAATCGTTGTTGGTCCATTAGATTAAAGTTTCCTATTAAAAAGCTTTCGTTATTTGTTAGAACGGAATATTGAGTTGACGTTCAAATTAGCAAGACGTAATATATCTATCAAGTCGGTTTTCGTCCAACGAAATGGTTTGATAATGCTCTCTAGAACAATTTGCTTAACAGAAACCTTGGCTAGGTTAATTGAATTTGATTGTGTTGGTCAAGACTTCTTGCTGGGGTACAACGTCCTTATGCAAAATACTGGCTCAGAGCTGATTCGAATTAGATAGTGACGCTTTCCTACAGAGTCATTCAGCGGTCTGAACCACCCTGGCAACTAATAGTGCATCCTCCATGTTAGTAAACGATGTGGCTCGCTACGCAATCCTGCTCTGCGTATTGTTGCTTGCTGTCCAAACATGATTAAGCTACGTTTCACCCCCTTATGCACTGTATACTGACCTTATAATAGAGGAAAAAAAGCACTGACTTCCGTAAAATCACTATCATCTATCGAGATTTTCAATCGAGCTCAACCCGAAGAGCTTTGGGAAACATGGCGGCGTATTTTACGGACTTCTGAATCCAAATGTGGAACCTTCGATGCGTACCTTATGAAAATTCACTAGTAAAAAAGTGCGGTATATGTGTGTGTTTTGTATCATCACTGTCCGCCATTTGCGTACTTACTTATTTAGTGGTGTATGTACATTAGACTATTAGATAGCGAATTACATTGCGTTAGTTATGTGCGTTTGGTTCCACCGTTTATTTCGTTACCTGTCGGGTGTTTCGTGAGTACGACTGTTGAAACGGTTGACGGCCGTCGGCAAGAAAAAAAAAAAAGTTCAATCCTCCTACAAAGTTCCGCGACGCTTGCAACAATGCATCCAGTTATCGGTGGCTAGAACGCGCCAAACATGAGATTGGCAAACACTATACGGTAGCAACAATTTTACACAAAGCGTAGTAACGATCAGGGAAAATACTTGAGCTCTTCGGCATCTGTCCACCTGCCAGTGTAACTTGTATCGATGTGTACAGAAAAGGTAAATACAGATTTCGTCATGGCGGTTGCGTGCGCCGAAAGTCGCCAGTTTAAGCGATAATCAACGACCATTCGGATGTTGGAAGAATGCGTAGGCGCTCTTTAAGAGATTGACGGAACCCAGAACGGGCTATCACAATCGGGTAGGTGAGGCAAATGGCTGGAGCTATCGTGGATACGAATTAAAACTTTGAGCATTGGATATTACTAGAAGCAGAATGAAGAAAATAGTATCGTCTGTAATAATGTTATTCTATATTATATTAGATATATATATTCTATATATCTATTGTGGAGCAGAGCGACGGACACATCTCAACATTGTACCAACCGGCGTTGCAATGAAAACGATTTAATGACCAGCCGTATCAATGACAAAAAGTACAGTCATTAATAGGATAGTAATTGGGGACGCAACTAAATGTAGAGATGGCCGTAAGTATAACAGCCCTCGTCCCGTGGATCCGAGCCGTATAGACAGTAGACTTGAGCAGAAGCTTCGGTGTGTCGCTATTATGAAATGCAGGTAAGTTATATTATGCCCATGTTGTTTGAATATAACAGGGAAATGGAAGAAATTTGCGAAACTATCTCGTTTCAATTGGATTTGAAATTTCGCGCGATTCCCTAATCGACTGAAATAGATGCTATTGACGCTTAACTAATCATAGTAACTAAGGGTCTGTATGAATAAAATTTAAGCAATTATTAATTATTAAATAATAAAGTTGTATGATACATTTAGATTTCGTTTAGCTCTTTATAGTTTGGAAAAAGTTTCGATAAGCCGGGTGCAATAGGCGATAACAAAACAGGATAACGCTTTGTTTCTGTTTACATAGCTGTGTATAAATCCCATACTACAGTACTTCTTCCCAGGAAATAGACTGGCATAAAATAGCAATTACTCAGCTTGCGTTTACTTTTGTAAGTGAAGAAGTCGCTTAAAGATGTTCGTGTAGAATTTAAAGTCCACTTAGGAGATAAATGTTAAGTAGCCATATTGATAATTAATACGAAGTTACTCTTTCAATGTAGACAGTTTATCTGTATTGCAAAAACAAACGACGTATTCTAGTGAATGAAGAGAAAGACACAAATCCTCACGTAATATATAGACGTGACACAGATTTGCCAGACTCCCGAAATACTTTCGACTGACAGACGGCGAACAGAGACGCCACTGTTAGCCCAAAGCAGGTTACGATATATGGTACATTATGACTAAATGGGTGCGCCAAGGCTCTAATGACGCACGAGCCCACACGCCCTCTGCCATAACCTGTTGTAAACAAATCAGTTCCTTCCTTCCTTCCTTCCTTCTGCAATCAGCTGACTGTAAAGAGTCATTTTCTTTTCTTTAATTTAATCCTATTATGGTACATGATTATGCGTATAGTGCAGGCAACCGGGAAAGCGTAAATAGCGGTGGCATCCGTTAGCAGCAGGAAGCTGTCACAACTGTTGAATCGATACACTCCAACAGGTTTCAGCAAGTAGTTGGCCATTGCTGGCTACGAATAGATAGACGTCGTGTCTTAAGCGATCTAATCTTAAGCGATAGAAAGATGATTAAGCCATCATTGGTACTAGGTACAATTTGTTGATTTGCTCCAGCGAAACTTCTACTGCCAGTTCAGTTGGCGCCCCTATTTTTCTTCCTAAAACTGTGGCCTTTTTCAGTACCAGTTGGCAGTGCCTATTTTTCGCTAGTCAAGATCATGCACGATATACCATAGTGGATACCTTCGTTAACATGCCCTATGGAAGTGGTTAGGGACGTGCGACGTTGCGTCAATAACGTTACTTATACATGCATATATCATGCTGCAGATATCTGTTGCAGACGACAATAGCCTGCAAGCAGATAGAACGGTTTGTAAACTTTGTTTATTTACGACCAGTGTAAGAGAAGCTTCAGATCGACTGGTGATTGATCGAGCTTCAATGATCTGAGTCGAAAACCTCAGCTACTAAACTATATAGAAGTCACAAAGCAGTGTTAGTTTACGTGCAAAGTCGACAAAGGTAGGACCATTACCCTCCTTTTGACCGTTTTCGTCTTAAACTAACGCACGGCTTCTCTGCAGTGCCGTTAGTGTTTTCCATTAGACGTCCGTATGAGAACGGCGAAGCCCAAACAAACGTAACGTAATTTCTACACTCATTAAGGGAATTACCTGCATGGAAACTGGATTCGCTGAATATTTCTGAACTTTTCACACCGTCATAAATACAGTCAATCGTAAGCAAATGTAAGCCATGCAACTGTAACTAAAAATCACAACAACTCCGCGTGATCACCTTAAGACTAGTTATGAAATAATTTTTTAAAAAATGTTTTTTTTTTTTTTAATATAGTAATTACTTTCACGAAGCCGTTGGTGTGGAATGATCAGATCCGTTAATTTCGGCTCTTTTAATTTTCGCACATTTGCCAGCTGCGACAGGAAGCACTCGTCTAGCTTTGACCCATTACGGTGTATCGTCATTGACAATATGTATTCGCTAAAATAAGTAGCACGTGCGAACGAAAGGGTATGCGGCGTTTGTAAACACTAAGCGAAAGTAAACGTTCTTAGGTCAAAGATAAACTCCTATGCTTAAAATACTCCACCATCACGCTTCACGAATCCATTTTTACGTCACAAAATGATTTAACATTGTTAGATATGTGATGTTTGTCCATTGTGATGTCCGTTATTGTAGAACTAGCTTGCTATGAGATGTTTGAAGCTCATGGGTAAGCACTCTGTAAAACTTCAATTTTGCCTAACACCAAAACAGGTACGGTGGACAAATTTCAGTTTTCGTATGATTTTTTTTTTTTATTTATTATACTATGCTTGTGATTACTTTAATTGTTTCTCTAGTTGATTATCGTGGCCGGATCGTCATTGCGGAAAACTCAATTTTACTCCACAGGCATGAATCCATATATATCCGATACAAATAAGTATCCCGGATAACCCAGTTTTTTCAGAGCTGACAATTGGGCTTGCCATTTACATGAACTTAAGAAAAAAATTCAATGATTCTACTTTTGAGTAATAGTGAGGGCTCTAAAAGGCATGTCATACTGCTAATGTAAGGGTAATTGAAATTCTTTCACTATTTATAAAACATCTATGAAGAAGCCTCATCGGATAGAATACGCACCATCTAATTATGTTAAGATTGCCTGCTCTTTGAGGGCCGAAAAAAAAATGTCTTATACCAATATCTCTGCAATGGGCCTGCTGTCTGTGATGCACTTTAACGGACCAACGGCAATCAAAGACTGTCATATTTAAATGACGGGTAGTAGTTTTTTGCCTGCATGCTATTCATGGAATCACAGCACAGTCCAAACAAACCTATTTAGGCCTTCCTATAACCTGCCGAACACGTCAGGCTACAACAGCGATGCAACTGTCGGGACGGGTGCCGTACTGAATAAAAGCCTGTTTAACCTGATCTATGACGCGCTCGCATTCCGTATCGAGTTGCAGACAGCTGCAGATATGAAAGCATATTTAGAAAACGCCTGTTACTACGTACACCTTCGTTAAGAAGGAGTGTAAGCGTATTGAAATTTTAACAATAGATGGCGACAGTGATGGAGCAATCACTACACGTTACTTTACTTACTGTATTAAATCAGCTGAAAGCTGAGTTAACTTCAAACGCTATATTACTCGTTATTAGTTACAGTTTATCTGGAAAACGCTTTTACGCTAATCTGAACAGGTCACGTTGCTATTATTATCGTTGTCATGTTAATTTTATGACAAAATCGTATACATAACGCAGGTATGGTGTTTATATTAGGCATATATACAGGTCGGTCGTATTCTTCCTTAAATCAAACAATACTGCTAACTCTTGTATTATCCGCTTAATTCTCTGCATACAATACAGACGTTTTCTTTACAAATGGTAATATTCTAGATACATATAACGTGAAGTTTCAGGCCCTGTCAAGGCCGTGTTGTGTGTTCCCCTGCCCGCCCGTTACCTGCCGCTAACGACGATGCCAGCCAAGTTCAAATGTAATCGAGTTGAAAAAGAAACAGCGGAAGCGTCGAATTTGCCTACAATGCACGTCACCGTGGTGGATCAATGCGCGATAGACGTCTGACTACTTCGCATTATTGCCCTGTTATTAGTTGTCGACGATAACCGGCACAGCACCCAATTCTGCTCCTAGTAGGAACATGGTCACGATTTGACATCACCGTCATGCGGTTGTACGGTAAATAATAGGACAACAAGAACTAGAAAGCGGAAGAAATCAGGACTTCCAGCCGCCTCTCACAATAGAGTCTGCCCTGGGGGGCTACTATTTTTCATGCTGTTGTGCTATAAATCCAATACCGGGACGTGACTATAATTGTAGTCACGATTATTTAGAGTGCACGGTGAAATAACTCTTTAAAAAAGAGTTATTTTTTTTTTATTAAATATATTATATATTTTAAGAGTAAAAATTTCATACATCATTGGTCCTTTTTCACACTCAGAAGTACGAATAACAGTATTAATTTACGCATGTTTGCAATTGCGTTTCTTTCAACGTACGTTTACGTTGCTTGTTCGAAACAGTTCGAGCTCCGGAGCAGATCGATCGGGTGTTTAGGACGGATGCTAGCAGTTTCAGTTTTAATTCCGAAGTGTCAATGTTATGTAATTGAATGTTCGCTGCCAATTTCAGACGAGACAGACGATACCAGAAGAGGATTAAGTAGGTCAACATCAACAAAATACGCCTCAGGACTATGCCTACATTGGGCTTGTGCTAATGTCTACGATAACATTTGGACTTGAATGATATAGAATACAGAAGTGCCTAATTGGATTAATTTATTTCTATTAGTTGTTATTGGTTATTTATTTAGTGATATGGTGATTAATAAACACAAAAATACTGATGTCACTTATTCGAACGCAAGAATATCATTACTATAGCTTTCTTTGTTGTTTTTTTTTACCTCCTTTTCCCTGGCCTCGTTGCGTTTTTGTTGCCCACATCTGGTGAACCTTTCCCGTAACTTTCCTTTTACTAGGTAGAAAGCACTCTGACAGCAGTATGCAACCACACGCGAAATCATAGGGCGTACTACTTCGGACTAGACCAACAGATTGTCACTTATCTATGTTCCTTTGAAACTAATCATTGAATATATTATTGCTCATTATGTTGGTGCTGATTCAAAAACAAAAAATTAGAAAATCATTTATTCTAACAGAAAAATTTTAGCAATACAGTTGCCTATAGATAGTGTATTGTATATAAAAATCATATATGATCTAAATAAATAATTAACACTAACAATAATAGTACTAATGATCATTAAGACTGAGGAAACACTGCAGGATCCAGCTGATTAGACTTTCACTTTCCTAGATTTACTGTTTTGAGACATGGAGAAGGCCTAAGTCATCGCCGTCAGAAAAATACGGTAGCCGTAATAACGGAGACTTGGCAGTCCGTCAAATCGTTTTCTATTCTTTCTTCTAGACTAACGAGTAAGGCCTAGAGCGATTATTTTGTAGCTAAAAAAAAACCATTGATTGCTCGAGTGAGTACACAACATGGTATTCTATGTGACTTCGCCGTCTCGCTGCGTTGGCTTTCAGACAACACAGGAATTGTCTAAAATCGATTTACTGCATGCGTTAATGATTCAGAGACATCCGACTAAAGAGTTTATTTATTATAATTTAGTACCTTCGCTTATTTAGTACCTACGCAGATGAATTTCAGAGACAAACTGATATAACTGATATCCGTATCTATAGGGTATGTTTCTGACCTAACGGTGGTTGGTGTCTAACCGGCATTTGATCGTTCACTGTTTTTTTGTGCTGCTTTTAACAAAGGTAGCGGAGTTAGTCTTGACTCTATACATCTGACATAGAACGCAAAAGACGTGTGCGTTTTTTTAACGAAACTTATGCTTAATATCTATATAGATATTGCATTTGTATAGGGCACAAAAGTCCGCTGAAACTTCAATTGACTTAGCGTAATTAATTGATCTGCTGCTAACAATGAAAACAAGCGATAGATCGATATGCCGAACAGAGTATGTACTACAACAACCACTAATTTAGTAGGAAAGAAGTATATTTATTTCAGTGATATTGCGTGGCAGCACTTCCTCTGAATAGTTACTCCGATCTGCAATCACGTTTTTTTTTTTTACAGAATATATCAATCGTTCTTTGTCGCCGCTGCGACTTATCAGACGGCTATTTCTCACCTTCAACATGTCTCGCACCTACAATTACTAGTATATGCTATTATACTCACACAAACAAGCAGACGTACACATTGTTAAAGTGAACGGCAAAGAAAGCGTAGATAATTTTTTTGACTTGAATAGATTACATATACACGGTAGTGATGAAAAACGAGAGAAAAACAGAATACTATGTTTTCCGAGTGTGCGAGGAAGCGAAGGAAAAGGTGCTCGAGTAGTGCTAAATTGAAATAATGATCTTTCACTAAAAACAACGACTACGTACGATGATCCCACGCGAGGGGTGCTAAGTGTTACGATGCTAGCCAGTCAGTCAGTCAGCAACGGCGTCCAGGTGCCGCTGACGGAAGTCGCATGCCGCTGACAATCCACCATCGGTATCATTGACGTAACGACAGTATACCTCATTGCAATATTCGTGTCTAAATAGACGTACCTCTTCGGTCTTGCATCCGTGTCCGTGTCCAAGTGGGATGGTGGTGAACTAAAAGAACAACACGTCGAGCGCTAAACACCCGTTCGCCACTGCCAGAAGTTATCGCCCAGAAGTTCAATTTGTTGAAGTGACGTTGGGGGCTTCGTTTGAGTCGCGACAGTCGTCGACGCATTGATTGCTGTCCCTTGACACTGATCTCCTTGGTAGCTGGATATGTTACAGCAAGCAATGTTGAAAATTGCAACATTAACTATCATGATTATGATCAAGCCAATAAATAATAAAGCTGGTTGCAAGTGCTGAATCTTCAATATGGCACTCACCGGTTGACAAAAAACGTAATGGAAATGATTAATATTTTATATTATTAAGCGTTGATAAATCTTCGTGAAGTAATAGTAGAGGAAGATTTTATAAATTGTTACAACTACTGCTTGTAAACAGGATATTTCACTCGAATACAGACGTAATTAACGATAATTGGGTAATAAATTCTAAAGCCTTCCTTGTAACCAGCAAATTATTATTTTCCTAACATATATAAATGTAGCAGATGGCCGCGGATTTTGGCCGTGTCACCCGTAATTGAGGCACCGATAGGGCCGACTTGACGCAGATTCCGCGCGTGAGGTAAGCACCCCCTCGTCGTTGTGTCGACAGATTGAACAATCCTAGCATTGTTCCGGGAGTGCCTGGCATGCAACAGGGTAATCCGAAGACGGTGACGTACTGTGAAACAAATACGTTCGATACTCGATTATTCATCCTTACCGCTTCGTGCTCAAGACACTTCATATGCGTTAAATCCGATCTATATGATACCGTCTTTTTTTTTTATATACAAATAATATGCGTAAACCCTAATTATATGTATAATAGAAGAAACTCTAAATAGAGTTAAATTAAACACTATTTTCAAAACGCATAAACGTCTGCACCACGTTATAACGGCCTGTAATGGTCAGTTTTCTGCTGTTAGGTTTTTAGCGACAATTCCCGCGGTACCTCAGTGCGTAACGTATCTAACAGCTTATATTTGGGATACGTTGTAATGTAGGTTCGAATTTGGGCATAGACGCATTTTGCTATGTACTGGCAGCCTGCCGTCTGATGGATTGCCGAACGGCGATACTACGCGTAAAACAACCCGAAACAAAGCAAAGGTCTGCATTTTTTAGAGAACTATTCTTCACTTAGTCGCTTAGATTCTTTTTTTAGTTGTGGCGATCATTTCATAGCGAGCATTCGTCCTCACTCGCGCCAACACATGACTTGAGAGCCGTATATCGGCTATCGGGAAAACCCGTTCCGCTCATCTTCTTGCAAAACCCTCTTATCTTATTTTTCCTGTTATGGTCAATTTATTGCCAAATCGAGCGTACAGCAATACGCGCTGCTCAAAGCGACGATTGAGCTCATAGTAGAGCACGTGAGAGGAGGTGACGTATCTCTTAACTCGAAATGGTTTCGACCCACCGAGAATACGCTTTGCCTCTTTGTCGAAGGTGTCCATCCCCACATGCTCGGATCAGTCTTGTAGACGGCGGGCGGCATTAGTCCGTGAAAGGCTCGTGATCTTATAGATACATCTGTTAAACCGAGTGCGTAATTAAATTTCTCGAGACTTATAAACGCAGCGTGTCTGATCGGCAGTTAACGTTAACGTCCTCCGTATCCAGAAGTAAAAGCTAAAAATTCTCATTCTTCCCTTGTTCAATAAATACAGTCCGTAGGATCAACCCCGGGTAGAACTCGTAGCCACAGTTACTACACTAATTACCTCAATTTTGGTCACCATTTTAATATACGTGGGTTTTAACAGGCAAACCATCTGCTCCCCACCTACAATTTTTTCTCCCGGCGAGCGAATTCAAAAAAATTAGCACAAAAAGCTAATCAATACATTACTCAAATCAATATAACACAAATTGACGGAAATAGAAATATCCAAGGCTTTTGTACGACACGATGCTTTTGTACTTCGATGTGTTGAAGTAACGCTAGCCCCAGTCATAGTTTTCATCACCTCCTTTTTTAGCTCCATTTGTATCTAACGATCGTCTCTGTCTGGCGTCTACACCTCCCAGATGGGCTCGCACCACCCGATGATGGTGCAGTGGTAAGATGTTTACCTACCAAGCTTAGGAACGTGTGAGATGATGTAGGTCCGTAAAAGGGCGTAGACACTGTTTCGTAGTAGAAGAAGTTACCCATTTGAAAAAAATCTTGGCGGCAGCAGCAACCGGATGTAAAACCCTCATGTAAGGCCTCAACAACACTTAAGATGACGTGCGTCAAAGTAATTCTGTTTTGAAATCTATTCTGTCAATGAGTTTCCGAAGGTCACCTCCCTGCATCATCTTGAAATCGGTGTATCTTCCAAATACTACAGTATATGAATACCTGTTTAGGTGATCGATGTTGTGAAAGTTAGCACGAAAATTGTCCATGTTGACAAGGATTCAGGAGTGGCTACTTTTTGTATGTGCTTTGTTTACCCGTATTCGCTCACTTCATTATCTCGGTTGATATATGAGCAGCTCGAGACGGCTTAGTTTCAGATCGTATCTGGCCCACCCGTCTGAGCATTGAAGACAGACCTTTGAACGTCGGTATTTTCATTTCTACATTTCACAAATGGGCAGACAATACAAAGGGGGGGGCAATAACCATAACAATAGCAAGCACAATCATAATAGACATCGAGGTAGCGACAACTACGGCAGCAACAACTATTATTGTTACTAATGAGCGGGACTAATTCTCGCTAGCCAAACGTAATCCCGAAATTCAATGTCATACACCGCCACGAATAGCATAAAGATGTTATCATCCATCTTTTCACGGAGGGGTGGCGCTGTAGAGGCATAAAACACAACGATCGTAAGGAAGCGACCCCTGTACACAGCACAAATATCCCATGGAAGACTTCTCGAAGAAACGTACAAAGAAGAAGGAGGTGGACAAGAGTATTTAATCGACTGCAGAGGAGACGGGCAAACAGACCGGCTGTAACGGAGCATGTTGCAGGCAGCGATTCAAACGAATACGATTGTACCTCAGAGCATTATAATAGTAGTAATAACAAATTTATGGTTACGAGGAATCAAACTCACCGTCGCTTTCGCCGTTGCCCTATCTGTTCATGCATATCGTCCTGTGCGATGCGCCCAGGACTGCTTAGGAGCTACTGCTGATGGTGAGCGGCCATATTGTTACCGCTATGCTACCTGTTGACTTTAAGGCCATAATGTGATCCGGTTCATTGGGTTTGCGGTAACTTCGATTGCTATACAGAAACCGTAAGCGATTTACGCGTGTACGCGCATTATACGTGCCCATTACGTCGGAGACGAACGCGATACGCTTGTGTTAAGAGTGTGATTTCTTATTTGAAACGATTGCATTGAATAAATAGGTAATCTCCCGTATCAATCATTCTACTATATAATAGTTACCTCAGTGAAATACTGAGTATCTTCCTAAAATTATGTTTAAATCGACCATGTATAGTACTATATGGTAAATTAGGCACGAACATAGGTAGGAAGAAACAGGTGCAAGAAAGCTATTATTAGTCTATGCGACGACTGCAAAAAATTTCTCTTTCTGTAACACCTATGTATATCAGACATACTCATGAATAAAGACCTTGTTGTCGCAATTGTACGTAATTACTGCGGTACTGTAGTACGACATTTTACAAATGTCAATACCATTCAATGTATTTATCTGAAAAGGCAGGAAGCGAGATACAGAGCTCTTTGGACTGATTGTTGCAGACAACGATATACGGTGACATCTACGATCAATTCCTGCAATCGACTATTAGAATGAACCATCATAAAAGCCGTTACCATGAAAACGTCAAGATACTATCGTCGGGGGTATTGTATGCGTTAATGAAAAGGAGGCACAATAAACCTTGCCGTAGACACAAGCGCCATACTACAAGAGGTAGTCATAATCGAAGTGTCTAACCTAACATAGGTCCCTTACATCGCTTAGTACCGAGGGTAAAATAAAAGCGAAGAAGAACATATGATCTATTGCGAACGTCCAGAGGCGAAAATGAATGAACCTCGCAAGGGGCTGCGTTGACTTCAATAAATTTAATATTTCCTTAACTTCATAAAACGCCAGATTATAAAAATCTGTACATTTTCATGCTACTCATAGTATTTTAAAGGAGGAAAATTTCGGCTCGATCTCAATTAGACTAGCTAAAAAAAACGGTATTCAAAATAACTCAATAGGCCTTTCCGCGCACAAATCGATAATTCTATCGTGTCAGAATGGACACCCTTAGCCGTTACTGTTATTATAGGTGGAATTACTTTGGCGAATACGAGCGGCCGTTCATCGTGAGCACACGTCATCCGAGAAGCGGACAAAAGCGTGATTGTATTTAATAATACAGCGACAGTTTACTGAAAATCAACCGGTTCAACAGAAAATTCTGAAAAAGGAGAAACAGAAAAAAACTGGATTACTGCCGCCATCATACGTTACCTTTGGTGGACAGTAGAACCGAACACTCAATACGGTCGTTAAATGTACGTCAAAAATCAGCACCCTCAAAATTTCAGAGGACAAAATGAAGAGGAAATCTAAAGCCGAATACATACGAAACAAGGGTTCGCTGCTGCTGCAGGCCACGCGGTTTACGAAAACGAAGCAATTTTCAACGATCATGTTGCCGTTTGTCTCAGAAAAGTCTTGCAATATTTTAGATACGTCAGTTTATCCAGTTTAAAGATGAATTAGTTTTACCATATTGAAACCAATTAGCTCCGAGCCGTAATAAAAACGAGTCGTTTTTTAGACTGAAACAGCCTCGACCAGATTAGCGCATATGTATCTCCATGGGACAGGACGTAGGCTTCTGACAGAATTAGTTTAATCGGTTCCACATTTTTGTAAACAGCTAGACAATTTGGGACACCGTCGCGTCATCTTTGCCCTTGTCCGTCTAGTTTCACATTCGGGTATCGTACGCTGCCCGAATTAACTTGTGGGACAATTATATTATCGAACCGACGCACATACTTGACTCCCCTTTGCACACTGTGCTGCGATGATAACCCAGTAATAACGGGAGTCTGATATTGGAGAGGGTCGGCGTATCCATATGATACGTCGAGCAACAGCTGGAATTGTCAGTAACAACAACGTTTTGGTAAGCTATTTCCGCTGAAGGAAAGGCCAGCTTCCCTAAGGACAAGCCGTGAATCGAGCAGTCTTTGGGATGGGCATAAGACATAACTAGCCCTTTTCGCGCTATGCAGGGTTCAACCGTAAAAGTCGAGTTGCCTTTTCGATTCCCAGACCTTTGCATTATATATCCTCTACCTAAAGCCTGCTGGTCATCACTGATGGCCAGAGTTCATGGGGCATGCTAGATTTCGAAACTCTTCTATTTTTTTACCAGCCGTTGATGCACCTCGTTTTTGTCTATGGCTGGGCAGTATTTTTGCCTGACTCGTGATTTCTATGATTTTGAGTAGTCTCTACGTATTTCGACAGTTATGTGACTATGTAAGTACAGTTTAGAGTATTTCAGCGACCATCTAAATTTCCTATAACTATTTTCTATTCCAAAGTTAATTTACTATCTAATCATCGGATTGTAATAGCAGGCGTGACACAATTCAGGTAAAATACGCCCGTCTGATTAAGAAAGGGACTCGATCAAATGATTGAGGATTAGCTCAGAGATGGCTAAAGAAAGCTGGATAAGTTCAGGAAGTATTTGGTCGATCTGATTCAGTTCGGCTTCATTTACCCCAGTGGCTGCAGCCTTGTGAAGGACTTGATTGGCATGAGGTATTGACGCTTACCTCATCAATATATTCAGCCAGTGCAGCTCAACGTATAATATGTGTCTGTGGCTGTCTCGGAATATGACACACACTTCTATTATGTGGAATACTGGAACCTAATTTAATCTCGTGCCCGATTTAGATGACTTCGATCAATTCCGGTTCTGCTGGCCCTTACCACTAATTTAACGTATATATTACTAATACATACAACAGTAACTATCGAAAAAATTTTTTCTACCTTCGCTCGTATGTATGTGTCGACAATAGGTAACAACAATTATAATGGCAATGAGCGGGTGGCCGTTACGTAATCAAGAAAGCAGAGAAAAGAAATTGTCTATGTAGGATGGTGGTATCAACGACTGCGCCGGTTAACTGGGGACGTCGGGACGCAGAAGAAGTCCAAGCTTCATGCCCCACGGGGTGGTCATCTCCAGCGGGACTTATCGTTGTTGTCATGGTTCCGCGTTTCGTTCGACGATCTGCAGAGCTGCCTGACCGGCCAGCGCGTGCCTCCAGCCTGTTACGTGAGCTTTACGCGTATGATGATCCCCGAGGAACTTGCGACACGCCACAGCTCTCTGGATCGTTCGTCGTCCGAGAATGATCGTAAGCGGCATTTGCGGTGTTACTGGCATTACGGACCATGCTTTTGTTTGTGGATGAGGCTGCTGGTGATGTCGATGGCAGTGGGGAAGCATCCTGTGGGTGGCAGCTGATAATGAGGGCATAATGCCCTTGCTCTATTGTTGCCAAGAATTCATGTCTGTCGTTTGGTAAGATCGCGTTTTGGTAGATTAACACACAAACAGTTACGGATCGATAATGCAGGATGAATGATATACTTGTTTCGACAGCAAATCGATGTTAGGTAGCTGACGGTCGCAGATTTATCCTGTGTGCTATCATAATCATTTATGCGCGTCTTTTGAATTTTGACGCATTTTATCTAGTTCGGAGTTATTAAGCATTGAAGCACATAAAATTAATTAAACATTAGTCTGTTAAGATGACCACTGTACCCATTGTGGTACCAGTTCATGACATTCTTATGGAGAAAAACGATTGCGAATCTCGCCGGCTATTATTAATTGTCTACAATATCATGCATAGAATGTACAAGCGTAAGCGTGTCGAAACCCCCAAGTCGCCGCTTACAGTTAGGCCGACACGTGTCGCTAGTTGGCCGGCGCTATGTTTCCCTTTTGAGAACCGTTAGGCCAAAGCTTCTAAATGACATTTGAAGTTCGTAACGATTTATCCAGAGCTGGATCCGGGTCTCTAAAGTGCCTCAGGGTTATAGATCATTAGTGCCTCAAAGAAGTTCGGTAATAAAGACGACTACTATAACCAAAATATATACATCTGAATACGTTTAAGTTGAGGTCAGCCAGCCTAACGAAAGGGGCATTTACTTATATGGTGCGTAAAACAAAAGTTGACTAACCTATTTTCAGTAATTGTCTGTGTTTCACAGACTTAATTACTTTTATGTCGTTTAAAAAAATCGCTCAGTCTTTCAAATAACTTTTTTGTCACATTTTTAGCCACTTCACAACAATTATACTAACCATCAACAGTATTAGTACTATTTCTGCTATTACTAACTGGTAGTTTTTATTAAAAGCTTTTTAATGCTGTTGCTATTGTAATTTTTATTATGTTGTCACGCTTTATCAGCACGATCATCATCTATCTCGTGTTCGCTCTTGTCGAGAACTGGTGTTGTTGTACACTGAAGATGTGGATTGTATATACATATATATATATACACACACGTATGTTTTTCACCCAATTTTAAGCTACCGTGTTATTATGCCAATCATCTTCATTCATCTAACTTGTTTACAACTCATTCTTATTTGCCTACTTTCATTAGCGTTAACGTTGGCCTGGTTTAGCGATTAGAGAAGATACCCTAAGCACGATAGTTATAGCACGTCGTGTGTTGCCTGACGCTGCTCCTTTTCTACCATTTTTATGTGCTAACTGACCAGTATATCCTGGTCTACCCCATCGGTTGCGGTGGAACCCTAATCAGCTGCGACTGACCACGAGAACAAGTGTAAACAGTGGCTATCTATCCTTATGAAGGTAAGAAGAATAACTCGCCGAGCTCAGCCGGCTGCTACAGCAATGGCAGTTTATCGTAATGCGACGCTGATGATCCCGAGGTCTGCAGTAACGATTCTTGTTTTTACTTTGGTTCCGTCTTATTACTCGCACATTATTATTATTATTATTATTATAGCTATAATTATATAATAATCTTTTGTCTCGAGCACAGGTGCAAAACCTCGATAACGGCTTGTTTCCCGTTAGCTTCTCTGGCATGATCCCGCCAGGGTTCCTATTGGCGTTCCTACGAGCGACTCCAGTAAAGATGATGATGAAGACGATTCACCCCAGGGGTGCCTATTACTGATGCTGTTTTTACCCTAACTGAGAAGATTGGCCGAGGCCGTTACAGCGATAATGGTGGGATGATACCAGTGGCTCCTGTGTGGAGGGCGGGGGGGAGTCAAGGTTCAACATATTTTTTCTTTTAGGTCTCTTCCCTACAGCGCTACTAATCCGGCGATGTGAAGCGATGAGACGGTTTTTGCCAGCCGACACGACCGTCAAATTCTCATAGGAGCAGAATCAGACGCAGAAGTGCGAACAATAATAAAACTACCAGGTGACAATGGCAAAAATAATCACGCGGTGTGGTGCATCTGGAATCAGCCGTCTTGGTGATACCCAGCTACCCTTAAAAACCTGCAAAAGCTGTTTCTACAACACAGCGGTCTGTAAAACGGCGATTCGACCCGAGACAAGGCAAAATACAAAGTTATATTATTACGGCTTAAGCAGCAGAGCTCACCTCTGCAGGACCTCAAACTAGACTTTTCTGTCAGCGCATCACTGGGCGTCCTTCTTTAGGATATCAGCCAGCTACAGCTTCAGTTTTACTTTGATTTTAGAGCGTCGAATCAAATTTACTGCGAAAAGTAGGCGACTACTATATGTTTTCGTTTATATATCTGCAATACATTTTTCAGTCTAACGCTGCCTTGCTGGAATTCGGCCATTTTCTTCAGTATTTATTGATTGCCCCTCCTCAGTCTCGTTCCACCGTTTACCAGCGGGGCGGCCAACGTAAGTTGTTTGCGGCTAACAAGTTTGAGCTGTCATTGGCACCACATGGCCGTGTTATGCGCTGCAATCAGAACAGTTTAGCTAAGACGTACCGATTTGTGCGACGTATGAGTCACGCAATGTAAATAACCGCTCTACGCTTTTTTTTTGTCGTAGAAATGTGCAATCTAAGGAAACATCCTTTTAGATTAATCACCAATCGTGGTCAAGCGTCAGAGACGGTTATCTTTCACTGGCGGCCTTGTCTGTTCCAACTGTACAACACAATGTAAAATAGTTGTTGATCCTATAGATCGCATGGGTAACTCGTATGGGCAACTAGCTGTCTAATTCGACTTCGTTAAAATTTTATCCGTAAAATACGTAAGTCGAAGCATACGATGAACGTATAAAAAAAGATATGGTGCTGGGATGAAGCTCTGTGCGCTTTCCATCTCAAAACGATTCCTCGAGCGATCGAGGGGCGATATATCAGATGATATATCAGACACTTCTAGCTTCTTAACGGTTGATTTTCGCTATGAGAGCCACACGCATTTGCCTTCAAAAAATGTCTATTTTTTGAAAGCAAATGCGCATGGGAACGTCAATTGTCGTACAGTATCTAAAAAAGCTTTGTTCAAACTGTAAACATGATTTTCGATTAATTTTAATGGTTTCTGAAAAACGTTCGACGAGTATTCGGTCTTTATTTAGTAGGATTAATTACTTCAGAGGCCTTTGTAATTAATCTCTGAATTCGCATGCAGTTCCTACCTAACCTGCTGGTCAACATGTTTGAGGGGTAATAGTGGCTGTAAGCTATCTGTATAAAATAGCAATAATGAGTACAGATCTCGCTCTGCTGATACTCATTTTTATTCCTATGCTTCTGCTCCACGTCCCGAAACAACACAGAATTATCGACATTGCCACAGTTTGTATCAAAATTTTTCAATACCTTAGATGGGCCTAAAAATCCTGATTGAGTGGTTATTTCGGACTAGGAAATTTTTTTTCTTCACGTTAGGCCCATGAATCTCAAATCTACACTTTTCAACATGCGAATTAATGCATTAGTTGATGTTATTAATAAACCAATGGCATGCAAAAGCAAAAAAAAAAAAAAAATTAATCGTACAATTGGTTGTGATGCCAGATTCGACTGATGATCCAGGTATTGTCTATGGTTAAAAACATGTCCGGAGAATTCATTCGAATATGAAATACTGTTAATGCCATTGTAATACCTGACGCAAGTAGCATACCGGCATCATTCAACCTCACCACCGCGGTCATCACAACACCAAACCCAGCATGCCAATTATTGCTTAGGTAACAATTCATTATCTCTATTAGTGTACTATTTGTCGAACTGGGTCGTCCGTGTGTGCAGTCAGACAGTCGTACCATTCATAAATCGTCCTCTCTCTTGTATCAAGCGCTCACTTGATTATGTTCTGCCCCAATGCCGACACCTCCTAACATTAGCAAAAAAAAAAAAAAAAAACAGATAAAGATGTAATCGTTGTCATAGTGCATTATATTGCAAATAGCAAAGTTCGTGCAGCATTTAATGAATGACGAATCTCAGAGCAGCTAGAATTTTCGTGTAGAACCGATTAGTCGAAAACTGACATGGACAGATACCTTCACCATCTGTTCAGAGACAATGTCCGACGGGGGCTGCCGGTCGGTCACCCCGTTGGAAGAGGAAGGGTGCATTATAAGTTAAGAATGGTATCTAAAACAAGTTAAACGATAGGGCGGAATAGAAACATCCATTAGAAGACACAATAACCTGACATCTTTGTTTGAGTGTTGCAGTTCAGCTCGCACGTCGCTGGCGGGGGCATCGTATTGCTCGCGTGTGTGACATCGATGCGTACCAGTGTTCATGTATGCCATGCTGCTGCAATCGTATATTTGGTTTTTGCCGTTGGCACGCAATACAACAGGCATACACCTTAATTTTCATGTCTGGAAATTAGTTTTGGCGTAACGTACACTTAATAGTTAATCTGGTAACTTTTCTTTCTAACTTCCCAATCAATTATGTGGTGACGCGACGAATACTTAATTGCTCCTGCAGAATTTTCACAGTTGACTTTTGAATGAATGTGTTTGGATTGTACGTACTATACTAAATATCGTTCAGTATCTCCATTGGCCGTAATGGAATGGAAGATGAAAGCTCACAGCCGCATCAGCCTCTCACTATATCACTCTACGGCTGAATTGTTCGCACATAAATTATGCTATGTGTCAGTCCCATCATATAAATAAGCCGAAAAGGAAAAAAAAGTCCCATTTATCAACGACAATCTCATTCCGTACACCTTTGAGGGTTGCGAATAATTTCTATCAAAGTGAGGCCCTGCTGTTTTCTGCTACGATCTTATTAATATTTTAGAAGGTATGCCGCTCGTTTGAGCTGTGAAACGTTAAATGTAATTGTCTTTAGGCCTTGAGGTGTCCTATTTAAAGATATAATAGAACTATAGAGAACAGAAGCCCATTTCACCAGACGAAGAGGAACGCCGGCGAATCAATACCGGCTTAAACAAACAATTATTAAATCTATTGTTTTCTATTAACAAAAATATCTAGAATTTATAGGTGGAAAATGAGGCACCATATCTGGAACTATGCACTGACTTGAGTCGATCACGCCATTCATCAAGACAGAATCCACTCAATGTATATTTAAAAAAATCATATTTTTTTATTATTATGTTATGCAAATGCGTTACCAACTTCACGACAGGTATTCTCTGTTTACTACATACATTTTTTACTAACGATTTATTCCTTTTGTTATAAAAACATTCTAATACAACACCATCCACGAGTAAACATCTAAAATAGAAGGACGCTGTGTATGTACAGAACTGCCAGGACGCTATCACCAGGCTGAACTGTCGATAAGTATTACGTCATTAGACATACTTATGAGCTAACCGTATTCGTGGGAATCCATCCGTAACACAACATCAAGAAGAGCGTCACGTACACATTGGCAGGATGTCGGGGGATATGCTGTACTATGCACGTATTGTTTCAACGACGTGCATTTGACATTCAACGACAGCTGGATGCGCCATCTGCGCGATGACCCAGGCCAATCCAGCAGGACATAACAAACAGCATGTACATGCGTCTATACATATCTTATATACATACATGCATGTAGGTTGTCTATATATGACACAAATGTACGTATGCTGCATCGCACGCGAACAAGCTAGCTAACGTTCCCTAGGGTCTTCAGCACCAACGGCTGTTGCAGTGATAGCTCCGGTTAGTAATAGGATCTTCGCCACTGACACAGCCAACACAATGATAAAGATGGCCAGGACGTGACGACAGCGTACGTTCGAATTTATGTACGTATGCATGTCTAAATCTACGCTATTTCGTTTATTAATGAATAGTTCAAAAATCACGGACATATCGTAGTCATGCAGAGAGAGACAAGGCCGCAAGTCGTAATAGGCAGTCTTCACCTACAGCAGAGCGACAGCTAGCACTTGCTATTTTGGAAACAGATATCAGGGTACCCATACGTGTCGTATATTCGTCTGCAGTAGACCTTTTGTAGGGCAATCTAGAGTTAGCGGCATATGATAGCCCTATAAAACTTTTTCTTTACATAAATTAGCATTTTTTGGTCTCATTCGGCAATATCTTATCTACATTTCAATACATTTGAAAGCTCAACGACTAATGTAGCCATTTCATCTAATCTACACTGATGCTATCCTAGAAGACTATGAAGCATCGCTTAGCATTTCTGTTTATTCTACATAACATAGCGTACTGGTTTAGCTAGCACTCACGCAAGCGTAAGTACAGTCAACTTTCCTGGATACTTCTATGCATAGTCGCCGAGTCTTTCTTTGAGGACCTCGTTTCCTCGTGAAGTGCTTTACCGTAATTGGCATATCAAGTTTTTCCGCATCCGCATTTGTCTCCTTGTTCAATCTGCAAATAATTTGCATCGGTACTTATGTACGAGGTGAGGTGCTGTCAAAATGACGCGCGAGCCGAGACGACCCGTTATGCACATTAGCTTCCTCACTCATTCGATATTTGTGTTTGTAGTAGACTTCACGCATGATGTGCCGTTGCTTATAAATCACACGAGTCACGTTTGCTAGACACAGCATTGGCTATCGTTGGGATCTGCTAATTTGCCCCTTTTCCATTTTTTCCAACTAAACCGGAAAAATTACCGGATGAACGTTGAAAATGTTTCATTTTTGTTTATCCATCGTACAATGCATGAGCTTTATCTACAAACCTTCTTTTCCTGTTCCAGTATCCTCTTTTCATTACAAAACCTCTGGCATCAATTTTCCTCGTCTTCAAGCAATCGTAGTTAACATCATGGCATATAGTACACAACAAATCCTGAAGAATCCCTGCCGTCTCCCACAACGAAGTGCAGTGGTCGTAGATTTTCTAAAACTGTTGTTTAAGGCTTAATGTTGATATCTGCGGACGCTCGTGTACTGTTAGGCTGAATAGAGTGTTCTAACTTGCATGGTCTTACATTGCACATTTTTTGAAGCGGCCGCTTCCGTACGGTCCTACCTCATTCGATTTATGTTTCCTGCTAAAGATCGAAAGAAGAACAGTAATAATGGCAGTTTGTATCGTTGGCACTACCACGAATAGAAGAAAAACAACCGCCAATACAGCGACCAGCGCGACAGATGCCACTGCAAGTAAGCAGATCGCTAACGCCGCCAGAAGGTGGGAGCGGGCCATTTGCAGTAGCCGCCGAGGCCCAAAGGTCTTTTCCGACCTTTCGCATGGATCCCTTTGAGTATTGGATAGGCTCTGCTTTGAGAATAGGAATGAAGCTGGAAAAAGGTAATGAATGTTGATCGCTTTGGCCTCGTCTTCGACTTTATCACAACGATCGGCTTGCCAGCTCGGCTGAG